AAAAAAGGTGCCAGAACTCACACATGTCATACAACCCGCCTTGCCTACCCTACAAGGTTCCATCCAAAAAAGGTGCTAGAACTCCGTTCTGGGCGTTCTATGAGGAAAAAACGCCCTGATGATCTTGGCCAAAAAGAAGGTTAATCCAAGAAACTGGAAGTGTTCTAGTTTGGGCACCAGCAGACTAATGGCAGCACAATTTTCTTGGACCCACCTTTTCTGATTGTCCTCCTTGTGTAGTAAAATAATATTCTTACCTCTCAGGAAGCTGCTAAAAAAAATTGAAGATATACATTGCAATATATGGTTAGGCGAGTAACATTTTCTATGTCAATGTGAAAGTAACATCCACTGGATTCAACATAGCTTACTTCTAAGTAAGTGTCACAAAGAGTCTGGTGGTGCCTATTCAAATTAACAGATTTTATTGAAAAGACAAAAACTCAGCTGTTGCTCATAAAAGCTTATGCTTTCTAGTAAGATTTGTTGGATGAAAAAGGTGCTATCAATCTCCTCCTGATTTTTTTTTTTTTTTTTGGCTCCCACAGACTAACATAGCTCTCCTTTTCCAATGTGAAAGTGTGTAAGAAAGAGTTGCCAGAAGAATAATTTGGGGTTGCACAAGAATAAATAAAAATGAGATCTAGACGGCTGTGAGAAAAGGAGAAATATTTATTCCCCAAAGCAGAGGGGTTTGCTCTGGGGGCAGCTGCAGAGAAATGGGATACAGTGACACAGTTTTATAGGGGAGCTATAATGTGTGGAAGTGTTTATGTACTGGTTCTAGCCAGGGGTAGGCAACCTTGGCTCTTTTATGACTCGTGGACTTCAACTCCCAGAGTTCCTGAGTCAGCATGGCTCAGCTTGGAAACTCTCCCTTTCCCCTCAGCATGGCTGACTCAAGGAATTCTGGGAGTTGAAGTCCACAAGTCATAAAAAAGCCAAGGTTGCTTACCCCTGTTCTAGGGTGACACTTGAGGGAGGGGTGTGTGTGTGTGTGTGTGTGTGTGTGTGTGTGTGTGTGTGTGTGTAGATATGTCATATATGATGTTTATACCTGTGAACATGCAGTTCCACTGGGGGACCTAATTTAATTAACCCTATCTGGGTTTACAGACCTTAACTTTTGATACGTGGATTAGGTCTGGGTAATTTATTTGGGGATTTGAGGAAGTTTGAGTAAAAAATTTTCCTCCATTTGCTATTTTTATTTGATTAACCTAATTTCAGCTTGACTGTCAATTATTCAATGGAGTCAGTGATTCTTAGTCCATTATGGATTCTATTAATGTTTTAAGGGAAAACGGAAACAGTATAAAGAATAAAATATATTTTGATATAGAACTTCTCATAGTGTTAAATAAGAAGTGTATATTGATTATTTTAATCTACAGGCGAGTGAATGTTTTAATGGCCAACGTCACAGTTAAATGCTTGGGGGGTGAAGAAGGAAGTAGGTGGAATGGGAATTATCTGTTTGGGAAAATGGCATTTTTAGATTGTGTTAAGTTTTTAAATGGTAATAATGTTTGTGTGTTTTATCTTGTAAGCCTCTGAGTCATCCTGAACTGTGAGATGGGCGGCAAATAAATTTGATAAACAAACAAACCTTTGTTGGGGTTTAAACTTCAATGTTTGGAAGTCTCTACCTTAAAATGGCAGGAAACCATCTGGCTAATTTTTGGCAGTAGTCTGAAAGGTTTCCCAAGGGATAATTTTACTACAGAGAATATAGATATTTCATGCCAATGAATTCAGTTCATCGGCATGAAGGAAGTTGGGGTTTTTTTTAACCTTCAGTATTCATACAAGCAAAACTAGAATAATGTCCATATGAACTTTTGCTTTTTTTATATATATTCAATATTCGTTCCATAACTGAAGTGTAGGAAAATGGCTGCTTCAGGTTTCCCCTGGTGGTGCAGTAGTTAAAGTGCAGTATTGCAGGCTAACTCTGCCCGCAGCTTGAGGTTTGATTCTGACTGGTTCAAGGTAATAATAATAATAATAATAATAATAATAATAATAATGGTAATAATATCTGAAGAACAATGATGAAGATGCACTGAAATTAGTATATCAGGAAGGCTTATTAACTACTGGAGAGACCAAACTGGCCTACAAGAAAGACCAAATGAAGAACAGAATAGAGGCATGGGAAGACAAAGCACTACATGGCCAATACATGAAAAAAATAGCTGGGAAAGCAGATAATAATAAAACCTGGCAATGGCTAAGAGCAGGAAAATTGAAGAAAGAGACCGAGGGACTAATTCTGGCTGCACAAGACCAAGCCTTAAGGACAAATGCATACAAAGTCAAAATTGAGAAGACAGCAACAGACAGTAAGTGCCGCCTATGCAAAGAAGCTGAAGAAACAGTGGACCACTTGGTAAGCTGTTGCAAGAAGATTGCACAAACTGATTACAAGCAGCGGCATGACAAAGTAGCAACAATGGTGCATTGGAAGATCTGCAAAAAATATCATTTGCCTGTAAGCAAAAACTGGTGGGATCATAAAATAGAGAAAGTCATAGAAAATGATAAAATTAAACTGCTCTGGGACTTCAGAATTCAAACAGACAAGCACCTGCAACATAACACCCCAGACTTAACAATTGTCGATAAGAAAGACAAAAAAGTCTGGATAGTGGACGTGGCAGTGCCTGGAGATAGCAGAATAGAAGAGAAAGAACTGGAGAAGATAACAAAATACAAAGACCTACAAATAGAAATAGAAAGACTGTGGCAAAAGCAAGCAAGGGTAGTACCAATAGTCATAGGCTCCTTGGGTGCAATCCCAAAACAACTGGAGCACCACTTGAACACCATTGGCATTGACAAATTCGCTATTAGTCAATTGCAAAAGGCGGCCTTATTAGGAACTGCTTCCATCCTGCGACGATATCTGTAATACCATCAAACATCCACATCTGCCTATCCCAGGTCCTGGGTAAGGACTCGATAGGTAGACAAAATGCCAAATCCAGTCTGAACATCTGGCTGACTGTGCGATGATCGATAATAATAATAAAGTTGGAAGGGACCTTGGAGGTCATTGAGTCCAACCCCCTGCTCAGGCAGGAACCCTACACCATTTCAGACAAATGGCTGTCCAGTTGCTTCTTAAAAATTTCCAGTGTTGGAGCATTCACCGCTTCTGGAGGCAGGTTGTTCCACTGATTAATTGTTCTACCTGTCAGGAAATTTCTCCTTAGTTCTAAGTTGCTTCTCTCCTTGATCAGTTTCAATCCGTTGCTTCTCGTCCTACCTTCAGGCGCCTTGGAGAATAGCTTGACTCCCTCTTCTTTGTGGCAGCCCCTGAGATATTGGAATACTGCTATCATGTCTCCCCTCGTCCTTCTCTTTGTTAAACTAGATATACCCAATTCCAGCAACCGTTCCTTATATGTTTTAGCCTCCAGTCCCTAATCATCTTTGTTGCTTTTCTCTGTACTCTTTCTAGAGTCTCAGCATCTTTTTTACATCGTGGTGACCAAAACTGGATGCAGTATTCCAAGTGTGGCCTTACCAAGGCATTGTAAAGAGGTATTAATACTTCACGTGATCTTAATTCTATCCCTCTGTTAATGCAGCCCAGCACTGTGTTGGCTTTTTTGGCATCTGCAGCACACTGCTGGCTCATATTTAAGTGATTGTCTACTAGGACTCTGAGATCCCTCTCACAGTTACTACTATTGAGCAAGGTACTCCCTATACTATACCTGTACATTTGGTTTTTCTTGCCTAAATGTAGAACCTTACTTTTTTCACCATTTAATTTCATTTTGTTAGACAGCGCCCAATGTTCTAGTCTGTCCAGATCCTCCTGTATCTTAAACCTGCCTTTTGGAGTGTTGGCTATTCCTGCCAGCTTGTGTCATCCGCAAATTTGATGAGTTCCCCATCTATCCCCTCATCCAAATCATTGATGAAGATGTTGAAGAGCACTGGGCCTAGAACAGAGCCCTGGGGCACCCCAATACACACTTCCCTCCATGTAGATGCAGTTCCATTGAGGACCACATGCTCAGCCTAAATAAAATGAGGACTCAGATTGTTGGGGGCAATATGCAAGTAATGCTTCTACATTATAAACCACCCAGGAGTCCTGTAAAGCATTATGGGGTGATATATAAGATTAAATCCTATTGCTATGCTATTTGGGACTATTCTTTTGGATTTTGCTGGGAAGGAAACAACTTGCATAACTTAGGTTAGTGGCTCCTCATTAAATACATATATGAAAAATCAATGTATTGCATTCATCCCTAAGGTTTGCTTTAGTTTTTGCAGAAAAACACAGTGATCAGTGGAATTGTCTCCCAGACAGCAGTAGGTTTATTTAATGTTGTCAGCTTTCCTGCAACTTTTGCTTAGCTCATGTATCACTGTTTGATTATATATTTGGTCCTCAAGTTACAACCAGTTATTTAGCAACCATTTGAAGTTATGGTGGACCTTCCCAGAGCTACTCAGAGCCTGCTTTTGAAAGTCTGATAACTTCAGAACATACATTGACATCCAGTTCAGAATTAGCTCCTGCGAAAACAATTTTTAAATCAAGTTTAAATCTTTCAAAAACCCTGCAATAGTTAAACCAGTCACAAACAGATCCTTCACTTACTAGTTGTTCTCTCGTCTTTATCCTGAACCCCTCTTTTTTAAATATCAATAAGTCCCGATAGGTCATTCATTTACATTCCGATGCCGTCTCTGTTCCATGTAGTGCTTCATGAGGTGCTTCCCAAAGTGGAACTCTACATAGAATAGAGATTTTGATGTATTTACGACCATTTGTAGCTTCCCACAGTCATGTGACCACTATTTTTGGTGGGTTTTTTTGCTGGATTTCATTTAATTTGCTTAAAAACCATCACAAAAAGTGTATAAAATTGGGTTCAGTGATGTGATGACCTGCTTAACAACCATGACACAACCATAATTCCAGGCTCAAGTGCAAGCGGGCGGGCAGAAAGGGCAGGGACGAGAGAAGAGGAGGCACCAAGATCTGCATGCATACTAGTGGACAAGACGCAGCCAGAAAGGATAAGATTGACTGGGGTGAGCAAAGTGGAACAGGTGAGGAAGGGAGCAATGGGAGGAGAAAGGACGGTAAGATCAAAATGTGTGAGGCAGTCAGAGCAATTACGGTTGACTAGGGCGGATAGACCAATTACGCGCTTGATGAGTAGAGTGCAGAAACAGCCAGGTTTATAAGCAGACTCTTCAGCTTCCAGCTTTCACTCTGATGACGTCGGCAGAGAACCAACAAAAGCTAAGGTAATAGATAGTTGTTTGTATAACAAACGGTTGTTTTTAATAATAAACAGGTGTTTTTATATCTATCCCGGAGTTCGAAGATTTTGTATTTTGATATGAATGTGCCTGGGATTAGCATTTTTAAAATAATTGTTTGTGTATGTGTGTGTGTGTGTGTGTGTGTATGTGTGTGTGTGTGTGTATGTATGTGTGTGTATATATATATATATATATATATATGATTAGCTATATAAGTAAAGATCCGACTCTTGGGTATATCCATACTATAAAACAAATAAATAATGATCACCAAGAGAATAAATAGAAAATATTTAATAAATCAAACCTAGCTTTTATCGGGTACTCCCGACATCGTCAGGGTTTTAAAAAAGCAGTCATTGGGAGGAGCTTATATACATATAAGGAGCTTATATATATAAGACATATATATATATATCTTTGATAACATTAAAAATGCAAATCCTGGGTATGTGCATGTTAGCAAAACCTAAAAGGAAAAACAAACACCAGGATAAAAGTATATATGGTTTTGGCTAGCCTCAATCCCCTTTTCTTCCATTTCAAAATTAATCACGCTGAATTATAGGTAGTCCTCGACTTACAACAATCCATTTAGTGACCTTGTAATGTTACAACGGCACTGAAAAATGTGACTTATGACCGGTTTTCACAGTTACGACCTTTGCAGTTTCCCCCTGATCATGTGTTCAAAATTCAGACGCTTGGCAACTGGTTTGCACTTTTGACTGCTGCTGGGTCCCAGGGTCATGTGATCCTCTTTTGCAGCCTTCTCACTAGTGGCCTTCTCACAAGTCAACAAGGAAACCAGATTCGCTTAACAACTGGGTAGCTAATTTATTCACTGTGGCAAGAAAAGTCGCAAAATGGGACAAAGCTGACTTAACAGATGTCTCACTCAACAACCTACATTTTGGGATCAATTGTCATAAGTCGAGGACTACCTGCATCCCTTTTGTCCCACACATTAAGGCATGCTTAGTGTTTGTCACGGAGAAAAGTTTTACCAGGGGTCCATGCCGTAAATGACATGGTAGATCATTCCTGGTAAAGATTTGTTTGTCTCTGAACAAGCACAAGTATCCCTAAAGTAGCCATTAGGGTTGAATCAACCATAGTTAAAGTAAACTAACCAAATCAAGGCCTAAGTACAGATTATGGTTAAGGCATTTGTCCTACATTTCTGTTTCATTTTTAGCACTGCTATCATAACTTGGCTATCAGCACAGTCAAATCAAATTTTTCATCAGTGTAATGAAATTCATGTTTCTGCTATTGGGCAAAAGCATGGCACGCCCTTTACTTTTTCTCTACCTATGTTGGGAACCCAGAAAATTTGGAAAGTATTTGTGGAGAAATACAGGAGGCTATTTACTATATTTTTATTTTTTTTATTCATCACGTTTTCATACTACCCATTTCACACAAGTGACTGTTCCCTATTTGGTTCTTATATTTATTCTCCTTCATGCCCCTATTCGGGTCCGATGAGCAAAGCATTCCTAAAGCAGCATTTGTTAAGCTCACACTATAAACAAATTTGTCGTGACTAATAAGCAAATTTGTCGTGACATTCCTACTATGAAAAATGAACTTTCAGAATTCTGAAAAGAATCACACGTGGGAGAAACCAGCTGCTTCCAAATCCCAGATCTGTGGTCATTAAGCGAATCCAGCTCCCCCCCCCTTGATTTTGCTTATTGGAAGCCAACTAGGAAGGTCACAAATGGGGATCACATGACCCTGGGATGTTGCAATACATGCCAGGTGCCAAGCACCCGAATCTTTGATCATGGGACTATGAGGAGGAGGCTGCAATGGCTGTAAGTACAAGGATCAGTTATAAGTCCTTTTTTCAGTGCCATCGTCTCTTTGAGTAGTCGCTAAGTGAATGGTTGTAAGGGGAGGACTACCTGTACGTGACTGTATTTTAATTGATTAAATGATTCTAAAAATATGCATATGAATAAAAGTTTGTAGACAATGTCTTTATGAACCATGGAAGCTGGCCATCTTAGCACTTCCTCTTTTTAAAGAAAGTCACGTTGCTGATTTTTTCCCCCTTGTATGGGGACAATACATTGTACAGTGAAGGAAGTAATTTATAAAATGCAATGAGGCTTTCTATGCAGAAAAAAAGCCCAAGAGGAGTTAAGCAGCTTAAAGTGCCCCCAGGTGATATTCTGCACAACAATATGTAGACATCAAGTTTGATCTAATCACGAAGGTGCAAAAGCTAGAATCATAGGCTGGAAGGGACCTCAGAGGTCTTCTAGTCCAACCCCTTGCTCAAGGCAGGAGACCTTACACTCCCCCAGTCAAATGGTTGTCCAGTCTATTTTTGAAAATCTCCAGTGATGCAGCACCCACAACCCCAGGAGGCAAGATAGGCCACTGATTAATTGCTCTCACAGTCAGAAAATTTCTCCTTACTTCTAGGTTGGATCTCTCTTTGACAAACTCCCACACAGCTTCTTCTCCTGCTCTCTGGTGCCTTGGAGAATAAGTCTTTTCTTTGTGACAGCCCCTCAAGTATTGGAAGACAGCTATCATGTCCCTCCCCCCCCTAATTTTGCTCTTCGATAGGCTAGACAGATCTAGTTCCATCAACCACTTGTCATACAATTTAGCCTCCAGACCTTTTATCATCTTCTTGCTCTTTTCTCACATTTTCTAGGGTCTTAACATGCTTTTAATATTTATATTTAACCTGTTCTGCAAAGCATCTGAAGGCAGGGCAAGAAGCAATAGATGGAAACTAATCAAGGAGGGAAGCAACTTAGATCTAAGGAGAGATTTCCTGACAGTTAGAACCACTTGCCTCCAGAGGTTGTGAATGCTCCTACACTGGATGTTTTTAAGAACAGATTGGACAACCATTTGTCTAAATTGTTTCCAGCCTGAGCAGGGGGTTGGACTAGAAAACCTCCAAGGTCCCTTCCAACTCTGTTATTCTATCCTGTTATTCTATTCTTCCCAAATGAATGGATGCTACAACGAATGCTTGGTTTTTCATTTCTATCTCCAGCTAAGAGTGTTTTGTACCCTTCTGCTTGTCTCCAAACTGATAATGCTTAAATAACAGCTGAGCAAATGGGAAGAGAGGCACAGAGGTTAAGCTGACAGAAATAGACCCCAGGGTTGAAAAGGCATCTCTGGAAACTCTGTAGAAAAGGATGGTGTCACTGTGCATTCATCTAGGAAACCAGAGCAGGGAGGGGGAAAATGTGTCCAGGGGAAAAGGGTGATTTTAGGACACAGCACCAATCACAGAGGACCTGGAAATCTTTATACAGTTGGTCCTTAACTTATGTCTACAATTGGGACTTGAATTTCCATTGGTCTGCAAGACGGTTATTAAGTGAGTTACACCTGATTTTACAACCTTTCTTGCCCTGGTTGTTAAGCAACTCAGTACAATTGTTAAGTGAATCATGCGGTTGTTAAGCAAATCTGGCTTCCCCCATTGACTTGGGGGAAGGTTGCAAATGGTAATCACATGACCTGAGATGTTGCATCCATTGTAAATACATTCCAGTTGCCAAGCACCCAAATTTTGATCATGTGATCATGGGTATATTGCAATGGTTGTTAAATGCAAGATCCAGATGTAAGTCCCTTTTTTTCGGTGCCGGGATAACTTTGAATGGTTGCTAAAAGAATGGTTTTAAGTCAAGGGCAAATTGTAGTGGTTTTAAAAATCTCAGTTCAGTACAAGTAGGCCTCAATTTATGACCACAATTGAGCCCAAAATTTATGTTGCTAAATGAGACATTTGTTAAATGAGTTTTGCCCCATTGTACAACCTTTCTTGCCACAGCTGTTAAGTGAATCACTGCAGTTGTTAACTTAATAACATGGTTGTTAAGTGAATCTGGCTTCCCCATTGACTACGCTTGTCAGAAGGTCGCAAAAGGTGATCGTATGAGCCCAGGGACACTGCAACCGTCACAAAAATGAGTCAGTTGTCAAGCATCTGAATTTTGATCATGTGATCATGGGGATGCTGCAATGGTCATGTGAAAAACAATCAGAGTTTTTTCAGAGGCGTGATAACTCCGAATGGGTCACTAAATGAACTGTTGTAAGATGAGGACTACCTGTAATTTGGCAGATTTGGCTCTTTAAACTGGTATTAGGGAAAGGAAAGTTGGCCCCAGCGAGAGATGAATCTATCAAAATGTTGCCCTCGGGTGGCCTAACATTGCTCTTTTCAACTCCGTGGATTCAAATGGCCTAAGTAACCTTCCAAATCTATGACTGTATTATTGATATAGTAAATGTACCATCAATTAATAAAATAAACATTCTAAGCATAATCTTCATGTGCTAGTTCAGGCTATACTTTTGGAATGTAACTTGCAAGCATTCCTCTGGATCAATTAAAAAATAATTCTATGAATAGAACATAAGGACATTAATCAGCAGGCTGAACTAAAACTTTCCTTGCTTTCATGGAAAACCTTAAGACTTTTTCTTTTTCTTTCCATCTAAAACAATACAATCATATGTCTGGGTGCAGCCTCAATATTGTAATGAGCTTATGTTATAAACTTCGAAAGCTATTTAACCAATCAAACCAAACTATAAATACATCCTCAGAATGATGTCCAGGTAGAATAAGCATGGACACTAATTAATTCCTAAGAACAGAAGTGTATTGCAAAGAAAAGAAGATTCCAGAAAGAGTGCAGAGAAGAGCAACAAATATGATCAGGGGACTGGAGGCTAAAATACCTAAAGGATGGTTGCTGGAATTGGGTATGTCTAGTTTAATAAAGAGAAGGACAAGGGGGGACATGATAGCAGTGTTCCAATATCTCAGGGGCTGCCACAAAGAAGAGGGAATCAAGCTATTCTCCAAAGCGCCGGAAGACAGGACAAGGAACAATGGATGGAAATTAACCAAAGAGAGAAGCAACCTAGAACTAAGGAGAAATTTCCTGTTAGAACAATTAATCAGTGGAACAACTTGCCTCCAG